TTTGACATATGGTTATTCAGTTATTTTCAAGGGAATTCACACACACATATTTTTTAGAAAAAAGGTTGAGATTATTCTTATATAGTTTTTTAGTCTATTATTTTCATTCAGAAATATGTTGTGGACATTTTTTCATGTCAACAATACATCAATTTTTAGCAGTGTAGTAGCCTTAGAGCTATAGCATAGAAAATTTAATCAGTGTTTTATCATTAGATATTTAGTTGCCTTATCAATCTTGCTACTCTGAATAACACTAGGATGTATATTCTCATACATATTCTTGAAAACTTTTGTTTATTTATCGAAATAATGTTTACAGTAGAAGAAAGGGAAAGCATATGCAAAAGCAAATTTTTAAAAGTTGTATCATATGAAATTTTATCATTCAGAGATAACCACTGGTAATATTTTTGTGATTTTCTTTCAGTGTATTTCTATCTATTTACATGGGATTGTGCTACTCACACTGTATTTTGTACTTTGTTTTTACTGAACCACGGAATACACATAAAGCATGTACAGATCATAAATATACACCTCAATGAATTCTCACAAGTTGAACACATCTATGTATTCAGCCCCGAGATCAAGACACATCACCAGTTCCTGTGCCTGGCCCCTCTGGCCATTATCTTCCTTCGCCAGGGTAACCACTACCCTGCTTCTACCACTACGAAAGAGTTTTGCATGATTTTGAACTCTGTATAATTGGGATCATCAGTGTGTACTTTGTGTCTAAATTATTTTGTTCAACGTAATACTTGTGAGATACATCCATACTCTTATATGCAGTTGTATTTATCCATGCTTACTTCAGTGTAATATTCCAGTGGGTGAATGTAACACAATTTATTCTTCTGTTGATGGACATCTGCATAGGTTCCAGTTTGGGTCTATTATTAATAGTGTTGCAGTGCACATTCTTGTGTTAACATGTGCTTTTGGTGAACTATATGCTATATTTTCCATCTGTTTTTTCCTTTAATATGTCATAAATGTCTTTCCTTTAAGTACATTTTTATGGACACGAAATACTGCATTGTTTGTACCATAACCTACTCTACTTTTGGATTTTCAGTTTATTTATAATATTTTTCTATAATAAACAACATTGAGGTAAACATCCTTGAACATACATCTTTGCACATTTTTTTCAATTTCCTGAAGAAAATTCTTAAAGAGATTGAAATGGATGGGTCAGTATTTAAGCATGTTTGTTAATTACTGCCAGATTACCATCTAAAACATTTATAGTTATTTATAGTTCCCATACTAATATATATGAGTATCTGTATTCCCAGAATCTTATTAAATAAAAAAAATCACAACTTAGTATAATTAGCAGTATTTTGGTTATTAGTGATATGGGATATTTTAACAATGTTTTTGTCATTGATGGTTGGTAAATTTCTTTTTTCATGAGCTTTGTTATTTTATCTTTTAGAGAGTCTTATATTTTCCTTAGTATTTTAAAAGGGTTTTTAACATATTAGGACAATTATCTGCTCTGGTTTTCCCCAGATTGTCACTCACCTTTTAATTTTATTCATATTGTTTTTTGCTATGTGAACTTTTAAAGTTTCTGCTTCCAACCTGACCCAAGAGTGAGACCCCATCTCTACCAAAAATAGTAAAAATTAGCCAGGCCTGGTGGCACATGTCTGTAGTCCCAGCTACTTGGGAGGCTGAGACAAGAGGATCACTTGAGCCCAGGAGTTTGAGGAGGTTGTGCACTAGGCTGACGCCATGGCACTCTGGCTTGGAAAAAAAAAAAAAGAAGTTTATGGCACTCTGGCTTTGAAAAAAAAAAAAAGAAGAAGAAGAAGTTTATGCAGTAAAACATTGGTTGTTGTTTTCAGTTTATTCCACACAATTTTGCATGAAATTCTGTTTATTTTCGATTCCTTTATGAGAAGACCTAATATTGTAGAGATGGCAGTTCTTTCCGAAATCAATTGATAGATTTCTCAATTAATAAAAAGTTCATTTGAACTTTTACGCCTACTTTGGTAAAACAGTTTTAAAGTTCATCTGGGGACATAGATGGACAATGTTATCAAGACAGTTTTGAAAAAGAAAAATAACAAGAGGTGATTTTTTAATACCAGGTTTTTGATTGTGTTACCGGCAATTGGTAGAGCAATTGGTAGTTTACCAGCTCACGACAGGTCAGGATAGAAAGTCCTGAGAAAAACCTGTGTATGTACATGCCATGGTCAAGGAGTGAAGCCCCAGTAATATTTGCCCTTTATCACATTTAATATTTCAACTTAATATTTTTACTTTTCTCTCTATATTGGGTACGTTATCTCACATAACATACACACATACATATGTACTGTGGGTTTTTGAAAATCCCATTCAAGCATTTGTCCTTAACCCTTCTTTAGGTGGCTTTACAAATGCCACTTACGTAGATACTGACCTTTCATGATAAACCTGCCATTATGTATTTAGTATTATTGTAATTTCTGCTTTTTATTATTATTATTATTTGCAAGGTTTGTGCTAACCAGCGTTCTGCAGCAATGTTTATGTCCTTCCTCGTGTTAGTTGTATTAGCCAAGAATAGCATAGACGATTCCACCTATGTTTTGGTCTTCTAATTTTAAAGTTGTATCCACTTACCTTACTTTTTAAATTACCAGCTGCTTCTGAAGCTCATCTAACTCTGTCACTTCTTATGTTGATTACATCCAAAACATAGCTAAATCAATTCAGTAATTATGTTAGAATACCTATTGCAGTTTGTCAACATTGGTTTGACTTAGTGCAGAGTTTCCAAGACAGCCATTTCTTTGGATGTGTAGAGGTAGATGTTATCAAAGAATAAGGTTTGATATGTTTGAAAGGTTTGGAAATGTGTTTATCTGCGGACAAATACATTTGAGAATACAGAGTTAAGCAAAAATCAAACTGATTCTTTAGTGACAGACTTCTTGGAGGGTCCAGTAAGCTAAATGTCTGGTTTAGCCCCAAGAGTGCTATGTAATTTGAAGCATTTCTCGAATTTATTTCACTACAGAGCCCCTATTTCTGAGCTGGCTTATGGGAACAATAAACTAAGAAGCACACTTTGGGGAAATGGTGATATAATTAAATGTTGAAGTGGTATTAATTTCCTCATTACTAAGTATATTCTCTGTTATCATCTTGGTTAGATATAAGCCAAAGAAATCAAGGGGCAGGAGCTGGGGTCAGGAAGGCAGGAGCAGCTGAACTGGCTGTGTGTCTTTGGAAACCTCTTCCCTCTCCTAGGTTTGCACTTTCTCAAACTTAAATGCACTTCTCACGCCTAAATGACCCTGACTGACTTAAGGACAGTGAGGCTGTTCCAGCAATAAGACGCTATTTCACTTGTTGCACAGGGAAGCTGATTGTGTTCATTGTAGAAAAAGGAAGAAGATTTTACCATTTCCCCGCAAAGTTTTCTCATTATTCTCTGCCTTGTCCATGTAGAGCTCCTTTATTTCCTTCTAAAAACCAGTCCTGATCATTCCTTTTTAGATTTGACATAATCAAAGCTGCCACTTCAGTTTTTCACTAATTGGGCATCGTAGAATCTCATTTAGAATTCTGGGAAACCAAAATAGGAGAAGTGGAGTAAAAGGGAGAGATATGTCACCTTCTGGGAAACTCCAAAGTGTCATTATCACCTTTGATGGGGTGTTTTAAAGGAAGAATCAGTCTGCATTTTCACCGGGCCTTCCAGTCTGTTTCCTTCTGCTTGCCAGGAAGCTAGAAGATAGCAGCTAATGAAGCTCCCCCCTCTTACTTTGCAGCCTAAGAGTGGAGTCTTACTTGTGATTTACTTCTGCTGAGACCAGTAGGTGCACTAGGTTTCTTCATGCTCTCAACCCCAGCATCGCTTGGGCAAAGTGGAAGATGATTTATTTTTGATCAGTTGCATTACTGAAGTGAAAAAAAAAAAATCTTTTTTTAAATAGCTGGAATTCCTGTTGTGATTTGTTGGTTAAATCTTGAGATTAGTTTGTATTACACAGTCATACGATTTTAAATCATTTAGCAAAAGCCTCTTGGGGATTGAAAAATGTTCCCTTCTCTATGTATGTTGCCATTATTTGGAAATGAAAAGGGGTGATAACCTTCATTTAAACAGCAACCGTCAAAGCTCTTGTGACCTCCAAAAGAAAAAAAAAAATAAAAAAAAAAAAAAATAAACAGCAACCAAGTATTGGGATCTCCTGTGCTTAGTAATTACATGCTAGAAAGAGGGGCCAGTGCACTCTGGACCTCCCAAGTTTTCAAACCTGAAGTCCAGAGTTTCACTCTGCATCTTACAGAAGGCGTAAAGCAAAGGCATGAACTCTGAGTCAGACCAAGACACAGTCAAATCCAGGTTGTTATTGTCTTAGAATGTGTCACTGTGAACCTGAGTTTGCTCATTGTAAGTGGTGGTGGTAATGATTACCTATAGGATTTTTTGGGACTATATACATATATATGTATGAGAAAAACTAAAGCACCGGAAACATAGTAGATGTCCAATCAATAGTAGTAAATCTACTAAAATCATTATTGTTATTTTTTATTATAGTTCTCAGTATAGTCATTGACTATTTCAAATATTTGCTTTAAGTATGATTTATATAGATTCAATTATTTTTATTTACTTTTAGATTTATTTATTTATTTTTTAATCATCCTGCCCAAAGTGTCAGTTTTGGGTTTTATTTATTTATTTGTTTATTTGAGACAGAATCTCGCTCTGTCATCCTGGGTAGAGTGCAGTGGCATCATCACAGTTCACTGCAACCTCAAACTCCTGAGCTCAATTACCTTCTCTTTTTCTCTGCAGCCTTACTGAAGTCATCTGTAAATGTTGGTGAGTATTAGTGCAGAGAAAGATACTACCCTACATAAATAACATATAAACACTGTATTTAACTCTGTTTTACTAACAAAATAGGTTGATTTTGTCCACGTGGAGCTTTTATCTTGCTCTTAATTCGTGGTCTTTCCTTTTGGTTTCCTAGGTCTTGTTTCATCATCTGCGTTGGGTATTGAATCATGGGGAGGAAGCTGGACCTGTCTGGTTTGACTGATGATGAAACAGAGCATGTTCTCCAGGTGGTGCAGAGAGACTTCAATCTTCGCAAAAAAGAAGAAGAACGACTAAGGTGAGATGCGTCTATTACTCAGCCGGGTACAGTGCACCATATGTGGACAAATGAAACAGGTTGCCTGAGAGTGTTCCTTGCTGCTAGCCCTCAGTGTGGACACACACAGATGTTTAAGGGAAGAATGCCCCGTCCTCTGTAGAAAGGTTGGCCAGCTTCAACGCTGGGCATCATAATGTCAGTTCAGAAATGTGACTATTCACACTCCCAGTCAAGGTTTTGCTGGGACTGCTCACTCTGTAAGTTGCTGTTGGCTATAGAGTGAGTGGAGTTTGTGGTGAAGGTGGCTGTCTTGAGCCTCCTTTTGGGGTTAGTTTTCCTGTTAGCAGGTCTTATTGAAGAATAACCAAAGTGTTAAGTAAACAATTCTTGGGAGAATTAGACTTACATATATACGATCTTTTGTTGGAAGTTTCAGCTGCCATGGTACAGGAAAAGAACCCTAAAGATCAGATACAAGGAAACTTACCATCAGGTGGGGATTGGATGACCTGGCCCAGCACCACCCACCTCATTTTATAAAAGAGGAAACTGAGGCCCAGAGAGGTAATCTTCTGACTCCTCTCTGGTTGGTATTTCCTTGTGGAAAGCTCTTGGAAATACTGTTGCAGTTCAATTGGACAGAACTGCCTAAACTTAGAAGAAGCCAGAGTGATAGAAATGAGATCATGTGTTGGGTTTAGGGTATTAAAACCTGGTGATGAGTCATTATTAGCTTCTCTGTTATTCCTTGGGATTCCGTGAGTTTGTTCACATCACCATCTTCTTTCTTAGACACTAAGCAAAGACTTGTTTTGCCCTCTATTATATATCTAATAGATAGAACAGTACCTAGCACATGGCTTTTAAAAATCAATTCATTACTTAATTAACAGATTTCTTGTCTTCCATCAAACAGGCATATATATGTGAGGCCAAAAAAAAAAAAAAAAACCTGGTGGAAATAAAGATGACTATGCTAGGGTGCATATAGCCTAGTAAAGAGGTACCATTGTCAAGAAACATAAACTCTGAGGTTCTCCAGGGGAAAAAGGAAAATAATCCATTTTTGAGGGTAGGAAAGATTTGCCATTTTTAAGCCAAGTGAGAAAGCTGACTAGAGCTTTGGCACAATCCTGCATTTCCATGTTCAGATATGGAATATAAAATAGAACAGAGTCAAGGAGGTCCCCAAGATTTTTGTCTTGGGAAACTGGAAAAATGAAGTTGTCATTCACTGAATAGAGAAGACAGAGGAACCAGGGTAGTTGGTACTCGGGCAAAATTGAGAGTTCTGTATTAGGCACCTTCAATTTGAGATGATTATTAGACATTCGAAGGAGGCATCAAGGTGGCATTTATATATATGCAACTGGGGATCAGGTAGGAGGTCCAAGTTGGAGATTTAAACGCTGTAATGGAAAAAGTCACCTAAATGATAGGAGAGTAGATGGAGCAGGGAAATATAGTACAGTTGCTAGGGAACACTAAGACCCGCTTACAGTTTGAGGTCACCATTTTAGGTTGAGACCAGTTTCCTCGTGGAAGTGTGTGTTTTTCCTGCATCATTCAGTTTCTCTCCTCTGCTCGACCATGGGCAAGAACCATGTCTTACTCACTTTTGTGCTCCAATTTCTGGTCACAGGGCCCGGCACCTAGTGGGTGTGCCCTAAATATCTGTGGAACCAATGGATAAAATGCAGATTGCTTGTCAATCCACATGGCCAACTTCATATGTGGCTTGAGGAATTGTTCTTAATATTTTCTTTCAATCATAAAGACTATCTATATATCATGGTTTGCCTCCTGGAAATTCAAATATGGGTAAGCCAAAGACTGTGTTCAGTGTCCTGTTCTGATGGTGGAGATCTGCCTTCGCATCACTGCAGAGCCAGGTGCAGTCTGTGTGGAAGAACTGCTTTCTGGCTCTTTGAAGGCTGTGCAGTAGCCACTATAGTAGCCTCGACAAGGTGGGCGCCATCTTTCTGGTGAGGCCGTGTAGTCTTACTGGACAGCAGTCAGTAGCTCTACTGCAGTTCTGTGCAAATGCTTGGCCGCGGGAACCTGCTCATGCTGGGGAAAAAAATTGGTAGTTGAAACCATCATCAGTGGCCAAAGAGAAGGGACTGCTGGCCACCGTACCACTTGTGGTCCTGGTAGTGACATTTTTCTCTGAAGACAATTGTCACTGTTGTCCTTCTGCCTATGACCAGTGACATGACTTGGTAGGTACCTAGCAAATGGGGGTGACACTGTGAATGATTTCAGCAAAGAATCTTACTCTTGGGTAGAAAAGGGATTATTAAGACAACACCAGTGCAAAACCACTGAAATCACCACATACTTGGCTCGCTTTTCCATATTGCTTGGATTGAGGGCAAAGGAAAGAGTCTAGGAAGTAGCATTATAGAAAGTATTTTTGAATCGAATTTTGCAAGTATTTTAGAATTATAGAAAGTAGTTTGCTTTAATGAATGTAAGACTCTTTTCTTTTACAGTGTTGAATTACTTTTCTTTTCTCCTCACCAGCTGTTCTTTATTTACCTAGAGACTCTGGCTAGGTGTGTGAGGGTATGTCTTGGGTATAGAGCTTATCCAGTGTTTATAATGATCTGTTCTTTAGTGCTGACATGCAGAATAGTAAATAAATAGATGGTGGAAGTGTGACAATTAATTGTCCTCAGAACACATCATGGTAATATAAAGAGAGGTCGTGGGGCTGAAGAATTCATGGAAAGAGAAGTGAAAGGTATAAAGCAGTCACCGTGAACTTGGCACTGCCCTGGATACTCTGCACAATTCATCTAATTGATTCCTCAATAAAGTCTTTGTAATATGGGCCCCAGTTTACTCAGAGGCTCCCAAGAATAAATAGATCACAAAACTTGCTTAGAATCACACAGTTAATTGGCATGGAGCCAGGATTCCATTTTCCAAGTTTTCTTAGTTATTTAGACTGGGTAAAGCCTTTTCATAACTGTGTTTTTTCTTTCCCTTCCTTCTTAAAATAATTCCTTAATATCATCTAGTATCCAGTAAATTTATCCAATGGTCTTCTTTTTATGAATACAGGAATATGTTCATATAACAATACAAACAAGGTCAAGTCATTAATTTGGTTGTTTTGAAGCTTTTTTTTTTTTTTTTTTTGAGACAAAGTCTTACTCTCTTGCCCAGGCTAGAGTGCCATGGCATCAGCCTAGCTCACAGCAACCTCAAACTCCTGGGCTTAAGCGATCCTTCTACCTCATCCTCCAGGGTAGCTGGAACTATAGGCACACGCCATTGTGCCTGGCTAATATTTTCTAATTTTTAGTTGTTTGGCTAATTTATTTCTATTATTAGTAGAGACAAGGTCTCGCTCTTGTTCAGGCCGGTCTCGAAGTCCTGACCTCAAGCAAAGCTCCTGCCTCGGCCTCCCAGAGTGCTAGGATTACAGGCGTGAGCCACCATGCCTGGCCAGTTTTGAATCTTAAGTCTCTTAATTTTGTCATCATTTCTGATTTAAATCAGAAGGCAAAAATGGCAGTGGGTGTCTCTAGGAATAGTTTTCCTTTTAATTTATTGTTCTTATAGTTAGGCTGAATTAAAGGTGGAGCTTAGATTTGTTGTAATTTTCCTCCCTTTTAAGAAGGTCTTTTTAGCATTTGTTCTCTTGGGTCTCCTTCCCAATTCTGCTATTTATGTATTTTTTCTTTTTTATTCGTAGCTAAGTGTTCTCTCCTGTGGGGAGAGTGGTAGCTCCCATTCCTTCTGGACTGCTGCTGTCCCCTGCTGCCCACCGCAGCTTACAGCGGGCACAGGGACCTCACAGTTGGCACTTACACATCAGCTGCTGCATGTAGGTGTAGTCATAGGTCTTCCTATGGACAGCGATTCTGTTGACCCCACATCAGTAACATGATGCACTTCCCCAGCGCAGGAGATGTGAGTCATGGGACCTGTACTCCCATGAAAGCTGTGTGTGTAGCAGGACTGTATATATGTACAGAGGGCTGGAGGTGCCTGAGAGTGATAGACATGTAATAGCAGGCAGTGAGGGAGGGACTTATTTGCAAACACGGTAGGGTGAGTATTGACTGCATTCCTCCAAGACACACAATAGCGTTAAAGCTATGGATGGAGGATGCCGGGGGACAAAATGTACGTTGACCCCTGCTCCTACCTCCGGGGTCTTTGAATCTCATCTAGACTAATCAGGTAAATCCATAGGAAAGTCCATTTTATACTTGGCTAGTTTATTTTTTGTTTTTCTTTATCAGATGAAATCCTGCAAATAGTAAGGCATAAAATGGTAAAGAAGACCTTATAATGAAAAGCCCAAGTCCTTTGCTCCATGTTGCATCATTTTTTTTAATTTATTTTTTTACTTATTTATTTTTTTCAGCATATTATGGGGGTACAAATTTTAAGGTTACATATATTGCCCTTTCACCCCCTCCCCCCTCGAGTCAGAGCCTCAAGCGTGTCCATCCCCCAGTTGGTGCGCATGGCACTCATTATGTATGTATATACCCATCCCCTAACCCCCCACACCTGCCGGACAGGTGATAAATGTTATTCCTATATGTCCACTTAGGTGTTGGTAAGTCAAAACCAATTTGCTGGTGAGTGCATGTGGTGCTTATTTTTCCATTCTTGGGATACTTCACTTAGTAGAATGGGTTCCAGCTCTAGCCAGGATAATACAAGAGGTGCTAGATCCCCTTTGTTTCTTATAGCTGAATAATACTCCATGGTATACATATACCACATTTTATTAATCCACTCATGTATTGATGGGCACTTGGGTAGTTTCCACATCTTTGCAATTGTGATTTTTACTCTTCATCCTTTGGGCCTCATGGCATGACCTTCATAAATCTATACGGGTGCTTCTGTTGCTGTATCTCAGTGTGTCAGTTTTAGACGTTCTTTCAGTTCTGTGCTATGAATGATGGAGACTTAGCTCACTTACTTATACTACCCTTATCTTTTGTTTCTTAATAGTTTTGTTATTATTTTGGGCTTGGATTTTTATT